CAGCGAACGACGCAACCATATCACTAGACCTCCGTTTTTTTGTGGTTTTACTGCTTCGGCTTCCAATCTATCACTTCGTACCTTACCTTTCTACCTGGACCCCCGGCCCCGACCTTCTTGCCGTGTGAGAGGTGCATTACCTTGCCTTTTACCTTGCTTCTTTCTCTCTAACTCTTCTTCGTCCAGCTTGCCTTGCCTCCTCTCTCTTTTTTTTATTTTCTCTCAAGAGGTGCTAATCTTGTTTTTGTTGACGGGGACCCTCTTGCTACTACTCTGGTCTTTAGCCTCTTCCTACTTCTTATTATCCTTCTTCTTCTTCTTCTTCTTCTTCTTATCCTGTTCCATCACTTTGGTCTAGTGTGTTGCTGCTGTTGTATGTGTACATGTATGCGTGCGTGTGCCAAATACCAAGCAACATCCCGTACAATACAATACAATTCCAATACCACCGGCCACACTCTTCCTCGCACCCATCCATCCTTCCCACCACGGCCATCCCACCGAATCACGGAGCCCCATTGACCTCACCACCCACGAGCCCTTCATTTACACGGACAGTCTGAAGTACACGTCGGCCCAGGGTCATCTCTTTCACCTTACCTTATACCTACCTCCCATTTCCGCCGAATTTAATCCACCGACCCATTCACCCCTCCGGCTTATTCGTACCTTGTCGACCTGACATCAACTTCGAACCCATCTCCGATTCCACACCTTGATCTCCGATTCCACACCTTGATCTTCGTGCCCACCAACCCACCCCTCCAAAGGTCTTCTCTTGCTCCTACTTCTGCTTTTGCTCCTGCTCCTGCAATCGAACCAGCACCTCAACGGTCGACGAACACGATTTACGCCCGCCCCAATTCCTGGACCACGAGCGCGAACATCTTGGTTGGAGACTGCGACTGGACCAAATTCCTGCGCGATACACCTTGCCATGGCCAGCCTGTAACGGAGACAGACACCACACCCTCGACAACACTAGATTCACCAACCCTCAAGAAAACTGCCATTTCGAGCCTGCTAGTACAGGAGAAAACCACCCGACGGGAGCATTCACATAATTCCAGGTTGGCCTCTTCTGCCTGCCTCAACCTGCCCACAGCATCCTGCCGAGCAGCACACACATCTCTCGCTAGGAGGGAGGCTTCTACAAGTGAATCATATTCAGAACTCTGCCGCCTGCTTCAACCACAAATGTAGCAGCCCACGACCTTGGTTCTCCTTTGACTGACACCCCTCGACCCGCCTCTTCCTCTCCCACCCTCTTCCGATCTCCGTTTGACCTCTCGAAACCTACTTCTTCCGCAGCTCGAAGCATCGCTCACGAGATTGTCGACCTCCGAACGACGAACCTCGAGCCCCCCCCCTTCGCGAGCCAACGATTAACTTCCCCCGCTCCGATGTGTTCGACTGCTGCACCTTTGCCCTTCTACAGCCTCCCTCTGTCTCCTGCACACCCCTCGTCGTGTAGACAGAGCTACTCTCAGCAAACCTCATTCACGGCCACTTACTCTCAAAAGGATTCCAGGTTCGATCTTGGGGCAGGAGCTTCTCTGTACCGGGGCGGGCTTCGCACGCCGCCAACCGACGCCATGAGTGCTACCTACCACGCCCCTCACCTCGTCTCCTACGACAGCCATGTCCTTCCCTCATATCCCTCCTCAGTTGCTCAGGCAAGAGGACCCAAGGCTGTCATGGCCGAGGCTGCGAGAGCCCCTCAATATCCTAGGTATCAACAACCTGCCAACACATATTCCCAACCCCCACAACCGGTAACGAATCCGGCCTCGGGCACAAGCCAATATTCAACCACCTCTCGACACTCTACTCGCCCGTCAACACCGACTTCAGGTGCCATTGGCAAGCCAGATGGCACTTCATCACGGAAGGGCTCTTCAGCTCTCGTTCTTCACAGCCTGTCGATACCGAGCTGCATTAATCCCAAGGGCGGTAACCTGGCCGACTTTGCAGCACAGGTAAGCTGGACTTGGCCTGCCAAGAAAAGGAATAGTATTAGCTAACCTACCTCAGATTACGTGCCTCTTTTGGTTCGAGTCTATGGACACCCTGCGAATCGCCGAGAACATTCGTTCCCGTCCATCGACCGCCACTGTACCTCGCCTTACCGAATATGCGACCCCCTTCCCCCAGTTCAAGAAGTGGGCCTACAGCGTGCTCTCAACGACCCAGGTCACCCAAAATGTGATTCTTTTGGCCCTGCTTTTCGTGTATCGATTGAAGACGACAAACCCTTCCGTCAAGGGTCGGTCCGGTAGTGAGTACCGTCTTTTGACGGTGGCTCTCATGCTGGGCAATAAGTGTGAGTAGGGTCTGCACTAGGGAGAGGGAGTGTTTTGCTGACAGCTCTTAGTTTTGGATGATAACACCTACACGAACAAAACCTGGGCTGAAGTCTCCGGCATCACCGTTCAAGAGATCCATGTCATGGAGGTCGAGTTTCTCAGCAACATGCGCTACAGCCTGCTGGCCACCAAAGAGGAGTGGGAGGAATGGCTCGTCAAGCTGTCTTGCTTCTCGGAATACTACGAGCGGGCCCAGAAGCAACCGACTTCACCGTTGAACAAGTCCTTCACCTCGCCGGTCCCTTCGCCCATCGCTGCCGCGCAGCCCGCAGTCTCGTTCCCACCCCTTACGCCTTCTGCCGCAAACGTCTACTCGCCGAGCACTAACGCGCAGAACAACACGCAGGCCTGGCCCTCGACATATCATCACAACCCACAGGTGTCACCCCTTTCTGGCAAGCACGTCTCGGGCATGAACATGAATGCTCGTAAGAGAAGCTCAGAGGAAGATGTGGCGGAGCCCCCGGCGAAGCGACTCAGCAGGCAGCCCAATGCGATGCCCCCTGTCGTCAGACCTATGGCGGTCAACGAGCAGCCCATGCGTCTGCCCGTACCGAACCTGACGCTGAACACCAACCCCGCACCATCTCAGGCACAAATGTACCCGGCCACGACGACCTATCCGGCACAGCAACACGTCTCGTTGCCGCCCTTGAGTAACGGCGTTCGTGCCATGGCAACAGTGTTCAACCCTGCCACGACGGTCTCGATGCCGCAGCTGCCCATGCCAGCCACGACTTCGATGCCGCAAGCCTCCCTTACGCCCTCGAATGTTCCGATGCATCCCAATATGGGATACGGCACCCCGACAAAGAGACATAGCCCAGGAAGTCTCTCTGTGTATGCGTCTTCGCCTCTCGGGGAACAATTCCCGACATCTGTCATGCATACCCCGATTTCGCACACGCCCATGTCACACTCGCCGAGCGTCTATCTTCAACAACGTCCCAGCCCGTACAAGCCTATCCGTCACGTCAACACACTACTTTACCCTCCGCCATCGGCTTCTCTCAACGAGTATCACCTGCCTACGACGCAGATGCACTACCAGCCTCTCGGGCGGCGCAACGACCTGCGAACCGGTGTGGTTCCTGAGTTCATGCATGCACCCTACAGAATGAGCGCTCACATACCGCACATGCCCCATGGTCTGCCGCAAGGACCTTTCCCAAACTAGAGGCTTGAGAATCGAATGGACCAACTGCCACTACCAACATACACTCCCCTGAGACAACACTCGGAGGATAGATCTTTCAACTCATTTTTTTAAGCATTGCATTGTCCAAGGCGTCGGGTCAGGATCATTTTTTTTTACTTCATCAGCGGCCAAGGAGGATTGGGGAAACTTAGGGAACCTTGGTAAGGAAAGGGACGACTCTCATGGATCAGCTGTGAAAATTGCATCAGGCGGAGTTGTCTTTTTCTCTCTCCCTACTTTTGGGCTTTCGGGGTAACGAGGACGTTAACAAGGCATGAAAGAAAAATGGTCTTTCAGGTTCGTGCATCATTTGCCAGATGATGCACCTCGCAGGCTCAGCTTCCCCCGCGAGCGGAAGCGGTTGATTTTTTGGGTTCTTCCGAAGAGGCAAAAGGGGCCTCTTTTCGGCGTAGATAGAAATCAAGCGTCAGCGATGACAGCTAGATCACGAAAGATCAAATGAATCAAATCCAAAAAAGTAAAAGTAAACAGTAACTTCTTGCTCTAACAGGCATGGCGGTGTAAACAAAGTGATGCTCATCTATATCTGATTGATACCTAGTGATGGCCATGAGCTTGTCCCTGGACTTGTGGGCGGATTAAGTTTGGAGGCATGAACCAATCAGAAAGGGACAGTGACATTTCAGTTTTTGGTGATGTTGGTTGGCTGAAAACCTCGGCACTGTGTTGAAATAGATACATTGACACTTTTGCACGGTACGCTCTGATTCGTCAGGATGGTCTCCAAGGTAAGTGTTCCTCGAGGCTTGGGGAGAGGAGAGTCCAAGAGCAAGCCCATAGGCTCGAAAAGGGCTATTTGAAGTACTTTGATCAGGTTGCTAGAATTGGATATCTTCAATATTCGATGAACAGGACTTCAGTGAACCTCGCCTTTCTCACTCTTTTGCCCGAGTACCTGTGAATTGCTGTTGTAGGTACCTTGGGAGTCGTTCATACTTTGTTCTCAAAAGAGCGTCAGCGATACGAATCCTTCTGCGGATGGTCTATTCGTGAAATCAGGTAGCAAGGAAAAGTATGGCTGTGTGCTTCATCGGAGATAACTTTTTGGAACCAGCCCGGATTGCCAGAGGAGTATGAAGCCTCGCGTGTTGAGAGAACATGGACACCCGTCAACCACTAGAACTCTGCTAGTGGATAATCAATCGGAGAGGGATCCGGGGCTGGCAAGATATGGCACCATGCCTACCATTCGGGAGCTACGAAAATCTACCATCTGTTTCATCATTTGTGTTGAGGAGCACATTTCAGTCGAGGGAAACTGCCGACTTGTCAGTCGACACATCACCTCTCACGCATTCTTACCAGAGAACCCATTGAGAACGAGTTATAGACAGACAGTGTTAGTGAACGCTTGCTTGGCGACTTGAAGCACGCAACAGCAGCTCATTCCATAACACCCACTGCTAAAAGGCAAGATGACGTTCGGCACATCCAAAGGAATAAAGAGGTCGAAGAGCGCAGAGGACGCAAGAAGCGAGGTTAAACATCTCGTCCCTATCCGCCGTCTGACATCTTCGAGCTTCGCCATGGTCCCACGCCTCGTGCCGGCGGATATTGATATGGCCGCGACATGGACGTCCGTAGAAGCCCCGCGAGGGACATTCACAGTAGACAAATCCAAATTCTACCACCCATCGGGACCCTTGGCCGACGACGTCTTTTGGATGCCGCTGTCCTCTGGCGACGTTGGCCACTGTTCTAGGGACGGATTTCGGATCGACAATGATTCTTGCTCTTCCAGGGTCCTATACCGCGCCAAGGAGAAGAAGCACCTATCCAAGGGCCTGCTCATGCACTGCGGCAGCCTCACAATCGACTACCACCCGTCCGAGTCTGTCAGTCGATGCTTTGTAGGCTTCGGGTCGAACGCCGAGCGTCGTCTCATCATGATGCTGAGGACGGACTGCCAGCGAGCTGCGGCCAAGATCACCGCTTGCATGGCCAGCTTGTTGCATAGCAAACTGCAGCGGGAGGGCAGCTTGCTGTGGCTGAAGCCGGGCGCGGTCGCCGATACGTTGGAGAAAGCCGCGGACTCGTTAATCGACCTTGCAGCGTTGGTCGACCGCTTCATCCAGACGATGAGGAAGCTCTATCAAGGCAATAATCGGGAGGGCAATATGCCTGTAACGTTCAAGAAGGCTCTGTTCCTACTTGGCCTAACCAAATGGCATCGCATCCACCGTGCTATCAACGCCATCCAGTGCCTCAAGAAGGCTTTTCGAATTGTTGCGGACACGGAAGGACATGCGAGCAGCAGCAGCAGCAGCAAGGCCCGTTGGTGTATTGCGGCCAACGTGTATGGCATGTTGGGTTGGAGACGAGCACCAGCTAGCCTCGCCCACCAACAAAAGGCGTTACCCAATGTATCGACGTTGCTGGAGATCCTTGGCGAGGTGGACTGGACCGACTTCCAAACGAGGGATGTAGAGGAAAGAATGAGACAAGCTGGCGTGACGGTCAGCATCACCAAAGAAAGCAGCTTCACTCCTGCAACGTTCCGAACTCTGATGCGGTTTCTGCAACACCGGTCGATGGAGTTATTGGAATACGATGACGAGTTTGGTGACGCGGATGTTGGAGGGCCACAGCAGGAGCCACGAAGCTGGACGGGGGAAATTCTGCCCGCTCACTTCCAGATGTTGAAGGCCATGCCGTGGGTGAGGCATTGTTGGGCTGCAGACAGCACTTCCTTGACGGTGTTGGCACTGCCAACGTTGGAGGTGTAGGGAGGTTTCGAGATCCGTCAGATGAGGCTGATCTGAAAACGAGGTGAAGTTGCGCCAAGACATGGGCCGAATAATTGTGGTAATTCAGGGCTATTTTGTCGTGCTGGGTGATGTTTCAACATATCAGGCTGAGACGTTGGTTCGGTAGGGCCAATAAGCTGGGACGATAACGTATTAGACGGGTTGTTGGCTACACCGAGACGGTTGCCGTGGTGGTTGATCAACATTAATTCGCCGCTGGAGCTGTCAGGTCAACAATTGTGTCACAGAAGCATGAAGGCCAGTGTGAACGATCAGGTAGAGAGACATGACGGCAAGTAAGCCCATCTTGGTCATTGGTCATTTTGATAACCGGTTTGCAGGTGATTATCGTAGAGGCAGAGAGTTTGGGGCGAGATGGGACGAAAACCATGCGACGGTTGACTGGACGACGGGGAGAGTGCGTGCCCGCGTGAGTGACAGCGGGAGTTTGCTGTTCTTTGCAAGGTTTGTCTTGTTTCGATGTCAGATTTCCTTCTTTCCTGACGCAGGGACGAGCGACGCGTCGCAAACCCGACTCAATGTTTTTGTTTGACGATGGCGGAATTTGGAAATGGATACGAAGCAATCAAGGCCAGACGAATGCACAGAATGCGCCTCGTCTCAGAAAGAAGAGGCATTGAATTGAGGAGATGCGACTACGAAAGGGAGGAATTACATAAGCACTCTGCGCAGTACGTGTACGTAGCATGAAGGCTCTACTACGTATGTAAAAAGTGGCTGGGCAACTGGCACCAACGGGGATCTCACCTGCTCACACTTCTTGCCAGACGGGGCGACGGGGCCTCGTGTTCGAGCTAGCGGGGAAGAATGGACTTCGCTTCAATGGAGTGGGCAGGGGCGATGCTGCTAAATTGGGATAATTTGCCGAGAATATACACTTCATCGCTCCAAGGGGGGCAAGGAAGGACACGAGATAGCCAGTAAGAGACCGGGAAGAATGGCATTCTGTTGTATTTAATTGGGGAACATCGAAAGCCACCAGCCACCTTTTGACCTGCAAAGATTGCCATTCGCCCCACTCCGTCCCGTTCCTGGACCGGGAAGGCGCCCCTTACGAGAGAACGTTCTACCTTCTCAATGGTCAGTGGACAGTGGTCACTGCCAACTGGTCCCCTTGACCCTGCTCCTTCCAGCTGTGCTTCCTTCCTTGCTATGCTACCCGCCTTGCCCGCTTGCCCGCCCCTTCCTGGCACTTTGGCACTTTGAATCCTGCACTTGCCGCGCTTGTTCTGCACCTGCAGGGCCTCAGAGTGTCCAAAGTGGGCTTCTTTCCTCCCTTTTCCACAGCAACGCTGCTCCAACGTTCCCCCCGTTCAGCTTCAGCTTGTCGTCGGACAGCAACCGTTCACTGTCACTCGCTCCCCAACCACCAGCCCGTTCATCAGAATCAGGTTCTTGTCCAGTCATTCGTTGTCGCACCCTCGTTCCGTTCCATCTTCACCGTTAGGTTGTCGTCGCTGCCTCCGTAATATCGTCATCGTCGTCGACAAGAACTACCTCCAAGGGAAAAAAACCCTCTCCATCGCTCTTGAACTCGGACTCCAGATTATTGCCATCTCCCGTCACGGACCCCCGACGCCTCATCGCCACGAGAAACCCGCCCGCCCTCCATCCGAGTGACCTCCCTTGACGTCCATCGAAACATCCATTCCTCGTCCATTCGCACCATCGTCCCCTTCGTTCGCGACGATACGACCGGGCTTCGCCGGACCTCTCGCTCACTCTTGACGAAACATTATCCATATCACGTCGAATCCCTCGCTTGGTCTCGACTTCGTCCATCGCTCGAGTATCCTTTCGCCGTTACCCCTGTCGAGAACTTCATCCGACCCTTCGACGGAATCTTCCAAACGCATACCGCGCACGCCGTTCCAACGATTCCACGCTGCCATTCCGCCATCTGCTCTTCCGAAAGACTCATCGCCGTAGGTCGGCCGTAGCCCATCATGTCAGGCTTCGGCGACTTCACCAACATCTGCCACATGGCGCCGCTGCCATTGTGCGCATCCATCGGCCCCATCACGGAGGTGACGAGCGGCGTTGGTATTGAGCCCGACTGCTATGCGCGTAACATCGAGCTGGCAAACACCATCATTTTCGAGGGTGCTGCCAGCGCTATGCACATTGTGTCTTTGCTCATGACCGTCGTCATGATTTTGCACATTCGTGGCAAGTTCACTGCTGTCGGTACGTCAGCCTTGACGACCCCTCGTTCTTGACACGGAAATACTGACGAAATATGATTAGGCCGCAAGGAAATCCTCATGTTCTTCTACATCTACATGCTTCTGAGTTTCATCTCACTTTGCGTCGACGCAGGTGTCGTCCCCCCTGGATCCGCCCCCTACCCGTACTTCGTGTCAGTCCAAAACGGCTTGTCATCAGCTTTGATTACTTGCTTGTTGATCAACGGCTTTGTCGGCTTCCAGTTGTATGAGGATGGCACTTTTCTCTCCGTCTGGCTGCTGCGCGTCTGCTCTCTGGTGGCCTTTGCCATATGCTTCCTTGTCTCCCTCGCGACCTTCAAATCATGGGCTGGCCTGGGACCCACCAACACCGTCGGCCTGTTTGTCGTCCTGTACTTGCTCAACGCTATCGAGCTCTTCGTCTACGTTGCCCTGCAAATCCTCCTTGTCGTCAGGACTCTCCAGGACCGCTGGCCGCTTGGCGACATTGCCTTTGGCATCTTCTTCTTCGTCGTTGGCCAAGTGATCCTGTACGCCGTGAGCACCCAGATTTGTACCGCCGTCAGCCACTACCTCGACGGTCTGTTCTTCGCCACCATTTGCAACCTGCTGGGTGTCATGATGGTGTACAAGGTATGTGAACTTGGAAATCTTGAAATGACAACATGTACTGATCCGCTACTGCAGTACTGGGATTCCATCACCCGCGAGGATCTCGAGTTCTCAGTTGGAACTAGGATGAACAACTGGGAGGTCAAGGAGCTGTTGCCAGAGGAGGATCGTCGAGCGACTGTTTATGACAACGACCCCTACAACCACGCCGGTGGCTACGATCACTCCTACTCCCCCTCTCCAGCACCGGCGCGCTACTCCGCAAGATACTGAAGCGGCATCAAGTTTGGCGGCGAGGAGGTGCATGACAACGCCTAGACATTGAATGGGCGTTTTCCACGGCGAAATTTCATGACAGGAGTCCGGATCTTGCCGATCTGCAGCGAATATTTTTCGGACATCTGTGTTACTTTGGGGATGACGACGACTTGGGCATTGAATCACAACGGCGTTTGGGGGGAAAAACTGTCTTTACAGGTCGGGCTGCATCCCGAGACACGGCCGACTTTGAGTTTTTGGGCTGAGGCGGGCGGCCGAGGCGGGGCCGGCTGAGGGATCAACCAGAACCACCAACAGCGAATAGGTTAATAACGTTAGCACGTATAGGTATCGATGCCTACGGGTGTCAGTAGTACATAGTTTAATTCAATCAAGATAGAGCAATCTCAGCGCGCCTGATAAGAGATTACGATTCGTCACCCAGGGGAGCCGAACAAGGAGAGGGGTCCGAAGGGAATGCAAGCCGCGTGGTCGTTCACCGGGGGGCCAGTATAAGCGCAAGATGACACAGATGAAGTCTTGTCCCGGTGAGCGTGTCATTCTGCCTAGCTCGTTCCGAGTTTGTACGGATATATAAGTCGAGGCAGCGATGTCTTGGCATGTGTAGACACTATGTGACTCTGCAATAAGGGTATATGTGGTAGTTTGACTCGAACGCAATATAGAGTTTGACCTGCCATACACGTTATAGTGAAAGGAAAGGGGGTCAAATTTGGCATGAGCTTAGATCAAGCTCTGAAAAAAAAGACTTCAATGATCAATTCAGGTAAAGCAGAAGAGATGGCCTGCCGTTGGTGGGCTAATTAGATGTGTAGTCCGCGAGCCCCCGGGCAAACCTTGAGGGAACAAGCGAGCAATGTCCGCAAGATAAAGTCGCATCCACTGCCCGAGCAGCGTGAGAGGCTCGGGCTTCAAGCCCCTGGGGGAAATAGGCATAGATACCGATACACGGAGACACAAGCGTTGACAAGTTTGATTGAAAAAGTTACAAAAAAGAAGGTTTTTAACGATCTGCGTCCGTGTCTCCAAGGTAGGATTTGGATTGGAAGGGGTGGGAAGTGGAGGTGGAGTCCAGTCTGAGATGCACGGAGACCGGAACACGGAAACGAGGCCGAGTGAAGTTTTAGCTAATGTACCTAATGTAAGGTTAGGTGAGAAAGATATCCATACTGGCACACCGGATATATGTCGTACAGATGGCCACAAAACACAGCACATGACTCTGCCAATCGGTTGTCAGGAGCCCAGACCTCATCGCATTGGTTCAGAAGAAAGGCGGTTAAACGGCTGAGGAGGTAAGCTGGAACTTGGAGGTTTTGATATTGGAGGAGGGGACGAGGTAAGAAGTGGAGGGGGACCCAGGCACCCAGGTCCAGGTGCCTTATCGGGTACATCGGATCTGTTATCGGCGTGCGCTAGCCCGAAGCTAAGGGGCTTTCCTGAGTTTCCTCGCACTTGCGTCCAATCACGTGTTCTGGGTGCGACAATGTAAAATAAGGTCGAATACCTAGGTAATTAGATTCCAATTGTCATGAGACATGTTTTCTTAGAGTAATCCAAATCAATACTATCAGCACAATTGAGGGAATGGAATTGTTATCCGTAGGATGGATGAGGTACCTTACTCTACATCTCCATACCTAAGTCAGGTACCTTGAGCATCCTGCCGATTGCGCAATACCTAGATGGCCGGATTTTCAATGTCGAACAATATTTGCCAGGGAGGCACGAGGGACTGGGGAAAATACTTGGAAAAAGGTACATGCACGATGCATGGGCCAACACAGCACTTCCATTTACTTACGTTACCCAAGGTACTTCATAGCGCTACCTTAAGTGCTTAAGTACTCCATACTAGGTAAGTGACAAGGTCTTCGTATCAGTTTAGGTTACCTCAACTATTGATACCATCTAGCAGGGTATTGCACCCGAAGATAGAACAAGGGAAGGACGCAATGAATGTCGATTGGCTTCCTCTTCAATATTGTGCGTGTGCCGGTGGGGGCAACTGCCAGCCCGTTCCTGCCCTTTTGCCAACATTAAGGCAAGTGTGGACGTTCATACCTTTCTAAAAGTAAGTAGTGCCTGAGCTGGCCTACTACTTGGGTACCTTATGCACCTGGTCTGGAGGTACGGATTTTGTATGGATTCTATCCTTACTCCGTACATCGGCATTGATTACCTACCTTTTGTGACGCTGGCCATGTGGCTGAATACCTTACCTAGGTAGCCAAAGTACTTAGGTGTGATACACAATAGGAATAGGTGCCTCAGGGACTGCATAGTAGAAAGGTAGGGGAAGCAAGCAAATTGTTGCTGCTTTTCCTAGCTCATGGTCCAATGTGTATCTACCTACCTTATGCCATTGTCCATTGTCCCGGCGTTTTCTTTCACTTTGTTGAATTTTTCCTTCTCCCTCACACAAGGCCCCCTTTCACCCCCCCCCCCCCCCGGGCACATCTTTCTAGGTTCTAATCAAGGCCACCACGCCTTCGATCTGATTCAAACCCGGGTCCAGTTTGCTTGGCTTTCCCCTCCCCAGACAAAACATTTTCCGCAACCGACTCAGTCCACCAGGAGATTCTCGATAATCGGACAGCTCGTAACAGCCGATGACCGACCAACTCGCAACTTCTCAAAGATCCGGTCTGCTGTCTGAGGTGCCCCATCATCATTCGCACAATAAGGTACCTCACACATCCACCTCCCACCGGTCCAACTCCCTATCTATTCGTACTCTGTACATAGTACTCGAGTATCTGCCCCCTCCCCCATCCCTTCCGTTGCGTCGGCACAGGGGAGTAAGCGTCTAATTTCTTGCGCGAGATCACGTGCAAACACGCGATACTCATTACCTGACGACTAATCAATTGCCTTCCAACAGCGTCAGAGGTGCAGGTCGGTGCAGTCGACTATCTTACTCGCCTAGGTTTTCTCCCAAGGAACCATCCAATCTCATTCGCACCCGCATCGCATCACGTATTTCTGTCCGCCTCTACGACAGCAAATCATCACTGGGCAGCAACCCCGGACCTTTTCTGCCCTGGAGAATCCGGTCCATCACTTCCCGGACTGTCTCGCTCACCTATCTACGCCATCGACAGTACCTATTGTCATTTTCCGACCGTGTGCTTGAAGGTATCCGCCTATCGCCAAATTCCATCGGGCCTATAATCCGCCTATCCTCAACGACATCGACGCACCTCAGCCAACTAAGTGCATTAGTCGATTTCTCGTCCCATGCTCACCCGCGCTACTTTTCTATTGCTCGGAACGTCGATTTCGATACGGCCACCTAGGGACTGTCGTACAGTACACTAGCAGTCACCGTCCTGCAATTCTGCGTCGCTTGACGTCTCACTCACCCACATCCCGCTGCCCGTTGCAGTCAAGTTCCTATCCGTATCTTTTGACGCTATCGCCTCATCTCCCGTCTTTACCATCACTCTCACTTTCAACCAACTTCCAACCGCCCGTCGCCTTACGTTTTCATCCCCCGTCGGCTATTTCCTTCCGACCCTTTACGTGGATTACAGTTCCCGCTACGGATACCTACCTAACCTACCTTACCTTTCTTGACCATCCCCGGTCTGACTTTCATAACCCCTCTCCTGTTGCATCGCATCCCACACAGGCACACAAATCTTGACAGCACCTCACCTCACAGGCTCACAGGCCATAGCGCCGGCATAACACACCCAAGGTCGCCGCGGATTGATCGACGCTCGCGACATCTTCGGCTTATCCACACATTTCACACCCCTGGTCGGACTGTCGCCGCATTTCATTTCCATTCAAGATTCTCCATCTCCTTCAATGCGAAACCCCAGTCTTGTTTGGAACGGCCGCACCCTCGTGCTCAAGTAATCTCGATTTTCTGCCCGACCGATCTCGAGAGCTCGCGCCCCGTGTCTCCAACTTTGGATGAACCGCACTGCTGCGTTTATCGACGCATTTCACTCACACGTCCCCTCAAAACCCGCCCATTTCATCTGCTCACCATCACCACCACCGCTACCCTGCCAATTGGGGCACATTCACCATGCCGTTCGATCCTGGAGATGACAGGAGGCCTGTCACTCAGGATGAGGAGCAATACTGGCAGTCTATGCGCCAGCTGCAAGAACAAGACGACGAAAACCTCGATAAAAACTATCTCGACAATGCCAAGTACTACATGGCACGCCTAACCGAGCTCAACTTGGAGAAAAATGAGCTCGAGCGACGTGCCCTCGAAGTTCACCGCGCCATCACACGGGAACATAAGCACCTTGAAGAGCTCAACGAGAGGTTCCAAAACACAAGGAAGGATATGAAAATTCAGCGCGAACATCACCAGAGGCAGTTGGCTGTCTGGTTTGACGAACAACGCCGGAAAGAGAATGATGAACGTGTTAGCATTGCAGCTGCAGCCCTCGCCGGCGCCGCCCCGCGCCGCGATTCGGGGCATATTGAAGCGTCACATCTAAGCAAGGTCGCCAGTGCCGGACTCAATGGCATGAACACTAACGGTGAGCATCGAAATGGCGCCGCCGTAACGATCCCCAGTCATGTCAGACCTAATCAACCTCCTTTGACCATGATCATTGACGCATCGGGTCGTACTGTTGGACCGGTGAACCGCCTCGTATCGAGCAACAGAATCGTCATATATCTGTCCAGCTTGCCTCAAAAACGACCTGTCCAGCTCCGCGATGGCATCACATTCAGCCCGGACGATATGAAGGCCTTTGGAGAGGCGGAAGACAAGTGGAAAGGCGCCATCATCCAAGCCACAGGTCTCGTCCGGAAACAATCGCAGCAGTGCGCCCAATGTGCTAGCGGCAGAGGCCCCTTTGTGCAATGCATTGGCCTCGACATGCCTGAATTTCAAGCATGTGGTAACTGCGTTTGGCAGAGCACAAACTGTTGCGACGTCCCGTCCTCAATAAGTCAAACGCCGCCCACGAGAGGATTCAAGGCACTCAACGCCCAAGATGTATATAACGAACGAGCCGCCAACGGCAGCTTCACCAACGGCACTGCGACTCCCGTCGGCCAGAGCCGACCTGGCTCCCGAGATAAGAGCTTTGCGGAGGGCTCAACAGCTACTGACGAGACAGAGGAGGACATGACTCCAATCACCAAAGCGAACCTCTTGTTGAAGCATGACGGGAAAGTCTTTACGCATCCCGAGTGCATGGCCGGCGTACCCGTCAACAAGATTGATCGCACGCACGAGTACTGGGACCCAGCCTGGCCGGATATCGTGCCCACGATTGAGCCGACATTGCAGTCATGGAGAGACAAGCTACAAACTGCTCTAGAAAAGGGGCAGACCAGCATGAAGTTCCAATTGGGAAGACAGGTAAACCGAGGAGAAACTATTTTGAAGTTTTTAAGCGACGCCGACTTTTGCCCGTATCAGCTGGTGGGGAAGAAGTACATGATGACCCGACTCGTTTCCTACGACACCATTTTCCGTCTCGCCGACACTCTGCGAACTCTGGAAGGCTTCAAGACTCTTGACATCACCCCTCTAGAGTGGCTACGTCAACGCCTGCAGGAAATCATCATTTTGGACGGACCGGAATTCAATCTGGCCAAGACGATTCATGACTTTTACCACGATTCGAAATACGTGGCTCTGAGACTCGCCAACGGCAAAAAGAGCATTGGAAGACCTTCAGGCATGAAGATGGCGCCAAAAGACTCGCCCAACTCGGCCAGAGGCACCCCAAACAACAAAAAGCGCAAGCTCTTCATCAACGAAGAATATCCCCTCGCATCCCAGCGTCCGCTTGCCCCAACACCGACACCTCAATTCCAGTCCCAGCCTCAAGTCCATCAGGTGCAGCCTCAGATGCAGCCCCAGGTACAGCCTCAGGTTCATCCACCGGTCCAGCCTCAACCTCAGTCACAGCCTCAGCCTCAGCCACAAAGCCAAATGCCACCGAGCCAACTTCAATCTCGAAAAAGCGAGACACCTTTGAGTGCACCACCGACGCCTGAACTTGCCAGGCAATCCAAGAAGCTTAGGACGGCAAGGGTTCCTGGAAAGCTCAAAGACGAAGATCTACACTACGACGGCTTCACCGACGTTGATGACTATAGTGGCGATCATATCGGCCAGCATGATTGGGCATTGAACCGGATCAAGTCCCGACTGAACAGCGTTAGCACCGGTGTGACACAGTACTGGCACTGGATTCCAGACAACGGCGAGCAGATCTTTGAGCACCAAGTGCTGGCAGAAAGCGACACTTTGACCTGGGGCATTTACGCCAAGCCGGTAAATTTCCACTTGGAGTTGGAACACATCCAGGAGATGAAATGGGCCACCGACACTTCCAAGGTCATTGTGGTTTGCAAGGACGGTGTCGTGGTTTCGCCTGATGGCAAGCCTAGAGGCGACCTCTTGGCTGAGTTTAAGAGGGACCGTACCAAGAGGCGTTTCCTGGTCTTTTGCCGCAAGAAGGGGGTGGATTTGATCAAGGTTGAGGCGTGAGTATTTTACATATTGACCAGAACAAGGAAAGGCAGCTAACACAATGCCACAGGGACGTCATACAAAAAGCATGGGACGAATACGAATCGCCAGATGTCCCGGCAATGCCTGATTCGGAGATTGAGTAGGACAACGACGAGGGATTCTCGGTGCCTGTGAAAGCACAAACAGAAGAAAGGAATTGGAGGTCTTTCACGTTATAAAGAAGGAGAATGGCGGAGATACCCCTGGTTTCTGATTTCATTGGGTGTCTTTTCCTGCGGCTTCAGTGGAACTTAGGCCTGCAATGGCGTTGGGCTACGTACCATGGGAACCATTTGGTCATCGAGCCATGCCGCCATGCGAGATGGTTGCTTGGGTCCCAGGCAGCATGTGATGGCAAGGAGATGCCGAAATTTGGCTGTTTACCATAATCGTAATTGGGCGGACGGTATTGCCTGGGACACTACATGGTGGAGTTTTTGGTTTTCTTTTGAGAGAAGACGTGCCTTTGAGTATGTCCTGCATTTTGCAGCTTGTGGTTAGAGTTTATACATGGCCCCATATTGGAGCCCATCTCCCGTCAATGGACGGGATAGATAGAAGCGTTGAGAGCGGAAGAAACAATGGAACGTATTTCCCAACGGCCTAGAGGCCTCTTGCTCTTGACCCAAAGACTGGATGGTTCCATCGCAGGTAGTTAAAGACATGATGTGCGTCATGCGGCTCAAAGACATCCGTTTCACAGCCTCTTCTCCTTTTTGCGGATGCTACATCCCAGTCCATGGCATCGGGCTGCGACATCGCGCATTCCGGCATTACAACCGCGGCTGCGGATCCGATTGGCAGAGGCGACTGTGCCGTGAGACTAGGTTACGGCGTTCCCAACCACTTTGGTCGCCAAGGTTCATCACATATCAGAAAGGCCAGCCGATGCTGGGTGAGGTCGAGCTGGAGCCTGAGTTTCCGGATACTGTGTCGCGGACGGAATCGGGGGTTGGCAGGATGGTGCTCCGTTTGTTTCCACCGGATGACGGCCACCACTTGAGTATCCTTGGTCCCGTCTGCTCACGCCCGCCCGCCAACCTTTAGAACATGGTCAAACCAGGTATTTTGATTGTGGAGATTACTCAGACGGCTGACAGCTAAGCTCCACTGGCTTTCTGAGAGGACCGTGTGTGCTTTGGCATTTGCGTCAGTTCTGCCTATCCGTTTGTTCCTGACGTATCTCTTGTGGTCGAGATTAGTATGCGGCACGGGGAACAACATAAGGTGAGTCAGACAGTCTTGTTTGCTCGAGATGGCATCTCGGCGAGCTGTATATCTCCAGCACAGAAGTCTGAGATTCCAACCACTCCGACAATCCCATGGCTTGGACCCTGGCAACATGGGGCAATCTATGACCAGACATATCAGATTGCCTTTGGTCTCGTTTACCACAAACCCTTGCAAACTACGAGTGCCAACTTTCAAATGTCGGCCCGCGGCATGTCTAGCTCAAAGATCAACAAGGAGATCCTGGTTCTCGTAAAGGACTGGTGCTTTTGGGCCGTAAAAGGCTGCCTACCGATGTCTGAATCTTTCCGGACGTCAGGCGGTGAAGTTTTCAGTCTTGATTCTTTTCCATGGAGAAATCATCCAAGCTATTACCAACGAATCCCCCGCGATCTCCCGTTCCGCAGGTTTCTTCCTTCTTCACCTACTACCCTTACTCTCGACCTCAAACCTCATCAGACTATTCTGCGTGGCCCCCCGGGCCCCGGGCCGGACTCAGCCCTAACCATGTTCCCGCGTCGCAACTACGGTCAGGCAGCCAGCAATCCGTACGTTAGGAGGAACATCATTCTGTCCGAATGCCTCCCTCCCGTCGTACCGCTCTCTCTATAATCGACCTCTCTTTACCCCCCTCTTTATATCAAAATCCCCCGGGTCCACGTCTATACCTCACCCCCATTGGACAACAGTCCTTCGAATATCCTGACCGACTACGTGTTCTAAATAATAAAAATACGACGCGATATGGAAATCCGGAGTGGTCGTCTCTCCTCTTCTGGGAATTCAGAACTTGCGGGCTACGATTTGATCTGGATTCCAGTATATATCCGCTCCGTTCTGACGGGTGACTTGGTCCGTTCGCCTGCCTCGCTGCTTGATACCGCTGTCATATATCATGGGACGGCCTAGGTAACATCAGTAACTTTTCGTTGCTGCTCTGCTGCCTAAGATTCGGTACATGTAGTTGGGCTTTCTTTTTGCGGAGTCGACGGAAGACTCTGGGCCCTTGCGAGGAGACACCAAAACTCGAGGCGGCGACGGTATCCGAGGACCAAGGGACGCGAAGCGGCGTGCCCGATATAAGTTGCACTCCTCGGTTGGTGAGATCTTCGCGTATGACTCCCCTAGAGGTTTGAGGTCTTCGTACTCTTTCTGACCTTTCTCATCCCATAGATGGGCCCTGGTTTCCGGGGCTGCATTCGATGCTTCCGGACGTTCGGGTTTGGCACTGTCCCCTGAGCCCTTTTGCACGTAGCAGATGGGGTTTATCGCCCGGGCGGTCGGCACCTTTCTTCATATGGCCGGCCTTACATGTTCAAGCAGATGTTGCCTACGTCTGGATCTGGCGGTACGTCAACTCAGTTATCCCCAATGTGTCCCTATCTCTCTTACATATTGCGGCGTCGCGTTTGTTGATGAATCAAGCCAATAGATCAAACAGTGCTCCCAGAACCCGGCAAATGGCTGTTCTCTACAGTGTTTCAAGCTGTGTAAGGTCTGGTGCCGCGGACGATATCGTCGAGTACGACATGATCGCGTCCCGTTCTCACTACACCTAAATGGGGCGACTGTTGGACAGATGTATCTATATTAGGTCTGTTGTTGAAGTCTATTGCTTGGTAGGGGGGCGCAACATCAGCACCCACATGATGGAGCGATGTGCGATCTCATGTTTGTGCTAGTTTCTCGAACTCCGACTTATACCTCCAAGATCTCGTCGGGTTTGGCGGAGGTGGTGGGATGGTCGGCGGCTGGGATACGTAGCAAGAGCCACTGGACGCAGAAGAAGGAGGCTCCCGAACAGGTCTCTGACGGTAGACCAACGACAGCCAAACGATACGGCAGCCGGACACGGATCAGTGTAGACTGAACCCTCGGGCAAATTGGCCAATACTGCAAACCCGCTTGACTGGCACAGTTTCATGCTGATCGGCCCTTGCTGCTCTGGTTTCCTCTTCGGCCACCTCTCTCGGTACCCACTGTGTACCCTTCGGTCGGCTCATCGGCAGAAGCGGTAGTTGCGTTGATGGAAGTCATCTTTCGCGTCATTGGCGTCGCCTCAGGGAGACACTACTATGACGGACCACGTCATCTACTTTCTCCTCGACCTCGAAGACATGAAGATCACGTTCGACGTGACATCGGCGCAACTGTGGCAAGCAGGAGGTGGACAGTATGTGAAGATCTCCGTGATCGAAGCCCATGAGTTTGAGCTCGCCGGCAGCGATCTGGGGATTTCTTGCGAAGCTGGTCATGTATGGGTGTTTTGCCAATCAATAGTCAGGCCAGGCAGCGGGTCGATGTCTATCAGAGACCCTCTGCTAGGCTCTCACATGAGCCTCCAGATGTGGAAGACTTGGAGATGTCCGGCCACCGTATATCCGCTCACCTCCACCAAAGCTATCGGAGCAAGAAGCCTGGTTGCTCCCGAGGGCGGTGTATGCACACCAGCAGCTGCTGATGCTACTGCCGTTACCCACTATCCAGCTACTGTCTCTCGGTCAGATAGCATGGAAATGGGCCGTACACTTGGATCTTCCACTTACTTTTACTTTTGAGGAATCGTGGGCTTCGACCAAGTGTTCCTCCTCCCCCAACCATACGCAGCAATGATACACCACATTACTGAACTTCTTACCAGCCAATCGGTTGTTCTGCTGATGTGTATACCAATACTGTGTCCCTGGTTTCGAGGTTTGGTATGCTAGTAGAGCCGCTTGGAGAGTCGCCTTTCTTCGGCATCATCGTATTTCTAGGGCCCTGTCACCAGCCACGGACCGAGAGCCGGGTTCACAAACCAAGATTACAAACGGCTTAGTGGCTATGTACGTTACGGCTTCTTCGAGTTGGGTTGGGGACTGTCCCGAGTAGACTAAGTACACTATCGGACGACAGCGGAGGTACTCAGCGCAAGCCTGGTCTGAGCAGCGCGGGAAGAAGGACGATGAACACTGATGTTATTCTCATCGACATGCTTGGGAACGAGAAAAACCCCGACAACAGAGAAGGCGATTCGCCTTTTTCCGACGCGCACACGCAAATTGTTGGGGTGCGAGTGTGGTCAGTATCTGGAATCAATCATTCGCAGACCAGTCCCATCGACATGTCATGTTGTCGTTCTCGCAATCGAGCGCATCGATCGCATCTGTCGCAAACACGTCTTCAAGACTGCCAGCCCTTGTACGGTTGGTCATGGAGCTCTATCAGAACGGCAACCTGGATCTTTCGACACCGATCACAACAGGGCTACAAGCCAAGAAGGTCACCGTTGGCACAGATTTCATACCATTCATCATAGGTCAGATCCAAGAACGAGAGTCAAGAGGTATAGTAGAAGACGCTCGAACGATGGAACAAAAGCTGTCAATCTACATGTAATCTGTATAGTAAACCGATACAACAATGCTAGAAATTATGATTATAGATAGTCTCAAAATGAAAGCTCCCGTACTACACCCCCAACGTATCGGTCAACCAGCGTGCAAGTCGAACGCACTTCTGGTCAATAAATCTCCAGTGCAAATCTCCGAACCACAAGGTGAGCACGATGACCACGGTGAAACTGCAAGTCCAAGCCAGACCAAGAGAATACCCGGCGTTCTGCATCGAGAACTTGAGACCCAGGCCGAGGAAAGACCTCTCAACAGCCCAGTGAACCAAATACATGCCGAAGCTGACCTCGCCCAGGTATAACACCCAGCGCGCGTTCAACAAGCGCTGCAAAGGGGGCAAATTTTCTAGGGATGTTACCAGTATCATGGCACCGATAGCCGGGAAAGTGCGCGCCGGGTCCTGGCCGAACGTGGGGATGTATTCGAGCCACCCGTATCCCACGGCATTGAAAGTGTGGCCATTGATGGGGTAGCCGCCCAACCAGAGCGAGAACACAAAGACCAGCCACCAGCTGTACGAAGCCGTTCTCTCAAGTGAACCCTCCAGGCTCGGTAGCTTGTTCCGCAAATGACGGATGTCAGCGAGAACCATGCCCCAGAGAAAGAGGCAGGGCTGCCACATGTCTCCATCCGCGCCGAGGGTCCAGAAGAAAACGAAAATGATCGCCACCACCGATAGCCGGGCCAGGGGGGATACCCGTGCCAGGGCCAAGCAGCACAGGAATACGAGAATTGATCCCCTGAACTCGACTGACAGTGTCCAGGCCTGAGGCAAGAAGCTGGCGGTGGTTGTCTGAGTCGTGATGATGATGAAATTCTGCCATATCATGACGAGAGGCGCCCAGATGCCGGTGGCTGGGGGTGCCTCGGGATCCCTGCTTCCGCTATTGTAGTACAACCCGTATGTTTTCAAGAAGAGGACAATGAAAAGGAGGGGGACAGTCGGGAAAAATAGTCGCATCCCGCGGCGGAAAACGCTTGATGGAAGGGACCCAATGCAGGCTTCGACTTGTCCACTATGAGCCTTCTTCAACGGACTATATGTGAGCACAAAGCCGCTGAGGACGAAGAAGATCATGACGCTCAAGACTCCGCAGTGGATAAGTCGGATGAATGGGAGTTGCAAGAGGTAGTGGTTGTTCTCATCCTCTCCCCAACCATGATTGATGAAAACGAACTATGCACCAGGTTGTCAGCTATCTTCTCATAATGGTACATCCCGTTCAATGAATACTCACATCATCAGTGTAGTGGAGGATAATGACAACCATCGCCGCGATGCCACGAAGGCCGTTCAGGTACGACGTTGGGTGGGAATCAGGGACCACTGAATTTTCGTCCCCGTAACCGTACGCGTGGGCCACGAACGATGGCAACAAGGTCCAGAAGATGCGTCGTGCATGGAAACGGCGCCATCGAAACCAACTTCTTCTGGTGTACTCAATTGGTTTTTCTTCTTCGTACGATAGCTCAGACAGATCTGCCGAAAGATCTGCTTCCTCGTCTTCAAGAAGTGGCTCGTAGGACTCGCTCGCCTGCCCTCCCGAGAACCAGCCACGTACAGTATCGGCGGACTCCTTCGAGAGGACCTTCATGGCCGTGCCAAGCTCGCCTTGTTCCAGCATCTCGAGCTGTATGAGACAACAGAGATTCGAGAGAGGCAAGGGAAGGAGGTCGTGGTGAGGAGGCGGTTTGGTTTGAAAAGAATTATTCAAGAGGTAGTATTGCTGTGCGTCTCCCAGTTTTCTGGAGTGAATAGGCTTCACGAGTTTATAACTCAAGATTTGAGGCTGCGATGTTTGATCCCTAGCGGACATGCTGTGGCGATAAGGATCCGAGGCAGTCAGGAATGAGAATTCCAAGGGAGGGGAGGGTGAACAGGGCCGGAGAGGAATCGCATCCGAATCGGAACGCCGCTCACCAGTGGGTGGTCTGCCCGAGACTTGAAGCAATGCAATGAGAGGCCACAAGATACATCAGCATTCCTAATCGTATTTAGTTATGTCTCAATCAAGCCCAAAGACATTCAAGCTTTCGATGCTAACAAGGGGGCTTCCAGATGGCACCCATCGCAGCCAGGATTGCAACCCGATGTGTCCGAGGCTAGGTAGATCAACGGCCGGACTCACTCAAGACAAACGAATGGAAAGAACAATTCGGCATAATCGCAATGTTTACTTTCCAATTGAGCCCTAGCATGCTGAGCAACTGTGTTGTTGAACCTGGTCTAGTTCATTCGCGAGGCTAATTGTTCCGCCCGCGCCACCATGTTTTTGAGTTGTGAGACATGGGCGGTTAAGTCAGGGGCCAGGGAGATCTCGGCACTGATGGGGTTAGTCGAACGTTACATACATTTGGGAGAGTCCATGGCGAGACATTCCATCCAAAACGTGTTTGTTACACGATTTTGACCCCTATCAAGCTTGCGCGAGGAGATTCGCCGTCACGCGGAAGGGAGCGTCGTGATCTCATGGACGGCCCCATATTCGACATTCCACGCTCATCTGTGCCTGCCAATAGGCTACGGGAGTTGCCAACCGAGTGGTGAAGGCCATCGTCTCGGCCCGCGACAAGCAAACATTCCGTTCGTAAGGACAAGGTCGAGAACGTTTGAATGCAGTGCTCAGCCCGACGGGATGCATCAGAACATCAAGACAACGACAAGAAGGTGGCCACTGGTTTCAAGCCCTGCATTTCTCATAGTATGATACCATTATCTTAGCCGTAAATCACGGAGTTTAAATTCGCTGTCCCTTGGGCTTGGCCTGAAGAATTTCAGCCGCAAGCCATGGTGATACCACTCGCAAGTCGGATCTTCGGAAGCACCACCTCAAGCGACTCGATGGGTCTAGCCACTATCCACAGGCACAATAGACTTTGAAAGTCTAAACAAGGGCCCATATCTTCGTATCCATCATGATATGAGGAGGTCGGTTCATCATCTTTGGTATGCAGTGTTATCACATCGCCCCTTGAGGAACATCCCTTAGATGGAGGTGGACAGCCCTTAGACCCTTGCCTTTGCCATAAGTATTCAACGCTGACAAGAATCTAGCGGCTATAGCTTCGATGCCGTCGCAGGGCCATCACAACCACAGCCGTCAGCCTCCTTTGTCACCTTACTAGTTTCAACCAGAGTGCTCTTGTTGAAGCTCTGCTCGCTAGGAGGCACGTCCAACGCGGGGTTCTTGTCAAAAAAGTTGACAGGCTTGAGGTGCAACTTGAGAATTTCGACCGGCATGACGGGGAAGTCTTCGATTCTTGGCACATGGTTGATGCCAAACTGTACCCAGACCACAATGTCGGACTCGGCAGTTAGTGTCTCATTTCGCTCAGACCAGCCCCTGACACCGGTGCCTCCACGAGACTGATTGGTATACCAACCGCCGGCGTAAAGCTCCCGGTCTCGGTGTGTTGTGACATAGATGTTGTGGTCCGCGAACTCGGCGCGCTTGTAGTTGAAGCTGTCGTTATCGCTCATGAGCTTCTGGAAAGGCGGCGCCATAATCTTGTAGGCCACTGGTTTCCCGTTGATGGGATTGAGGGAGTTGGGGTTGGTGATCTTGAACGTGCGGTTCACGTCAAAGTCAAGGTCAAGGCCCGATGTCTTCTCCACGATCTTGTCGATAACTTCGTAGCCTGTACCGTGAGGGTTCCAATTGGGGTCGCGCGGCATCTTATGCGCTTCCGAGTACACCAGCTGGTTGGTATGTCCATCGATCATGGGATCGACGCGCAGGGAGAAGATGTGTTGATGGTGTCCCGCAAGGACACCTGGGTGAACAACGGTTCCGAAAGACGTGCCGACCTTGTCTAGCTCATGGTCGATGGGCTGTGTTGATAAGATGCCGGTGGCTCGGACTTCGTAAGTCACCTCACCCGCTTGATTGAACAGGAACATCAGAATGTACTCATAGTTGGAGACCGTAATAATACTCTGGAGCACCAATTCGCGAGATCGTACGAGTGCGGCACGCCCTGTACGGTAGTTGGTATGCTTCCAGCCAATGCCTGCATCTTGCTCGTGGATGCAGATGCAGTTTTCTCTGGACTCCGGCTGACCGCGGTCATCGGAAATGACACCACTGAGGTACTGAATGCTTCCTAGGCAGTCACAGCCCAGCTGTAGGTTGTTGGCAGTGGCTCCAGCGCCCGCATCGCCGAGATCGAAAGCGGCTTTTTTATGGAAGGGATGACGCGGGTCACCATAGGGCACACTCATCTCTGAGAGCGACAGTCTATAGAATAGTGGACGGCCATCATACTTGACGTTGTACAACACCATACCTTCGCGCTGGTTGAAGCCTGAAGCGCTCTATGTTAGCCACTGTTCCCAACCATTTGGCTCCCTCACCCTCTCGAGTACACTGTACATACCGATGAAGAAACTCCACTTCTGCCACGTGAGCACATTGCCGGTCTCTCCCACCGGTGTAACGGTGAAACTAGGTCCCTCGGGTTGGACAACCTGGAGAGGCTTGAGGTCTTTTCGGAGGTTCTGAGCCTCAGGAATGTACTCGTTTCCTGGCTTAGGTGTGTAAGGGCTAAGAGGCTTGATGGTGTTATCCGCACCAGTGGGGAGAATATCAATGCGGATAATCTTGTACTCGTTACATTCCACCACGGGAAGAATGGGTAACGGGAAAGCATAGTGATTAGAGTCGGGCTCGGATGAATTGTTGGGGTCTCTCATATAGAGGAAAACCTGATACAGACGGGCATCATCGTTGACACCATCAGATCCTGATAACACTTAGTCGTAGCTACTAGCACTTAGTTTAAGCACCCACCGTAGATCCAAGGGTCAGCGCAGACGACTGTGCCTTCAGGTAGCTCGAGTTTCTTAATTTCGGCAAGGACCTTGGGATCCTCAAGTGCGATTTTCTCGACCAACTGAGCCTCATCGTAGTCGACGTTGCCGTGGACATTGGCTCCGAGCTTGAGGTTGCTCTCAACTTTTCCGCTTGTCAGATTGACTACTGCTTCATGGAAGAGGTCCTAGTACGGTTCTTGTCAGCGTTCTTGTTGGGAGATCATACCAGCGAAGCTTGGTTGTCATACTGTTCCCCGGATGTAGTACGCAAGGAACGCCCTGCGATCAGGTTGAGTGGCGGACAGTCCCTTATCCTTTGCGTCCAAGTAAGGTGCCAGTTCTCCCTTGGCGGGTTCACTGAGAGTCACCACCTTGAACCGAAGAGAAACGGATGCTGGCCAAGCAGTCTGGATCACCTGGGCTGCGGCTTTGATCTCCGCACCCGAGAGGGGGCAGAGGGGGTGTGGTGCTGACATACTGGTGGAGGGCTGTGTAGTTGAGGGTTGTAAATGAAGAGACTCTACACAACCATAGATGAGGGAACGGGAAGATTTTATAAACGGGGTCCGGTAATGTGTGGATGTGTGGATGTTGGCGGCACCGTTATTGCTGGCCTCAAACCGCGGGGGGACTATCCTCCTTATCGGACCCCAGGTGTTGCTACGACGTAAGTTCGGCGCAGGTGATCCACATTTTAGGAGTGGCGCTTGACCCGCATGTCCCATCCGGGTATAAGCGTCCTGCAGCTTCGTTCCATGCTGTCACGGCACCTTGGCATCGCCTCTTATCATCAAGTACAAGTATCATCCTTGTCCGAAGCTCTGTTCTCGGGCTCCGGTTTGTTGCCTTGACTTTGGTAGATGTCCTTGGGTCTGAGCTAAAGGAACAGCCAACTATCTTCCAGTGACCAAAGATAGTTGAGCCAGGACTTTGCCATCTTCTCGTCATCGTCTCGGGCCCAGATCTTTTCCAGCATCTCAATGGCGTTCCTAACATTGTAGCAACACGATGATATCCAGATATTCCTGAAAATTTCCCGCACCATCATCTTAAGATCGGCCGCTTGAATCTCTGCTCCAATGACAAAGGCCGGCCACACCAGACTCTTCACATGGAAATCCTGGGCTGAAATGGAGAGCATATGGAGTATGGCGGATCGAGTTGCCCCGTCGAGATGCAGAGTAGAGAGATGCTGCCCTTGCCCAAGCAGCGGGCCGACTATGTGGGAGGCATATACTTCAACCGCAGTCTTGTAAGCATGCGCAAGGTGCGAACGCGACTGATAATGCTCAGGATCTGGGAAATTCTCTGCCCAAGCTGATGGTGAGAAGTTCTCGAGACCCTTGCACAACTCTGCGACCTTTGGCTGCTCTACTTCAGAACAGGTCGGAAGTGATCGCATAGAGTTGATGATGGAAACTAGGTACAGCAGCTCGGCAGGACAGCCAACCCAAGTTTGATCTTCAGACTTTCGCAAGATCCTTAGGAGAGACGGATCAAGGGATGCTAGTTGCTGAGAGAAAGAGCCCTTAGCTGGCGCCAGCGTTGCGCCCATGATCCCAAATCTATGATAAAAGTTAGCGGTGAGCCCATGCAAGAACGTGCAGGAAGTGCCCTTACGTCGTGTAGGCTGTATCAAAATACTCCAGCCAGTGATCGGTTCCAAGACTGCGATTCTGAAGGGAAGCTTTCCGCTGTTGGAGTATTTCACCAGCGCCTCCCAAGTGATGCTCCCATCCCCGACTACCAAACTCGACTACATCCATACAGATAAACAGAACAATGGCTGCCACTGCGGCATCATTGTTTGTTACATTGTCGTCTTGTATTTCTACCTTGAGATACTGCAAGGCTCTTTGCTTATGAGCTAGAGCTACACGTAGTGAGGGTGAGAAGTTTGGCTGGCTCAGCTGCCAGTCGCGTCCCTGTGATTTATGCCACAGTGAAGTATTGTCGACCTCGATGCCCCTTCTTTCCGCATAAGGAACTTGCATCTGGTTGATGACCAGCCGATGAGAGTAGTGGAAGGCCGAAATTGCGATCATTGCATGGGACAAGGCATGACTCCTGGACATAAGCGGCATAAGGGACAAGAAAGGATTGCTAGATGTCTGGTAAACTACACATTCCTTGGACATTTCCATGTCGACTGACACCACATAGTCAGCATCCTCACCGTGGAATGATTCGGTCTGGGTCACAGCTTACAGTAGCGTATGTACTTGCGGCAATCAATTGACAAGTCTTGCAGGTCAGGGTCGATGAGAGACCATGACACGTCAAGTGATGGCGGCAGTGCCTCACGCAAAGTGTCCCAGGAGTGTCCCACTGCGAGGGAGCCAGACTGACAAGGCCTTGTGACTACAAGATCATCATTTGGTTCTTGATCTGCACCGAATGTGGCTTTTCCCATCATCTTGCCTCGGCTGGCCACACTATTGGTCCACACCAGCTTCTTCGGTCGGTCATATCCTTGGCACTGAAGCTTTAAGGAGGTGCAGCGGAGACAAGTTGGGAGGAGTCTGTCACACTTGGCCCGCTTCTGCCGACAGGTCCAGCACGAATTGGAAGCGTGGGACGCGTCTGGCATGGCGGACGGAACATCGTTGGTTGGCTGGCGAGTGTCTTTGACGTTGGATGTTTGCGTGAAGTTGAGTCTAGGCGAGGTGTGGAGGCAGAGGATGTGAAAGTTGGCAGGCGGGTGTAGCGGGGTGTTTTTCTTATCAAACGGCAGACCCGGCGGATCGGGAGGCCGGCAGATTATGCGATCGGCGCTAGGCCTCATCAGGAAGCCAAGACGCGGCCCTGGTCAAAACCCCAGATTCGTCCCTCACAGGCTTACCTTGATCTCACTAGGGCTTCAAAGTTTGGGGCCCAAGACTCCTCCAGATGCCAGAAATGAGAGAATTCTGTGTCTTTTGATGAGTCGAAAGCTTTACTATTCATGCATTGGTAGTTTCCATGAGGGTATGGTGGGTCATTGTGAGTCTGCCTACCTCCACACGCCTCCGTTGTTGAAGGCCTCAATCAAGTACCAGCGCCCTTGGCTTTGCGCGGAAGCCTTATCATTTGAAGGCACAGGAAACCTGTTTAGCTCATTCTGATGCCCGCGAAATAGTCACTCTTAGTTTGCTGAATCATTCAATCGGCTAGATAGACCCTTACAATCCTTGTGCAGAAGCAAAAGAGCCAAACCGCCGCCGGACCCACATACCCCGAGTTACGTCGAATTCGGTTCCGTCCTGCCCATGCTTTTCGGAGGCAAGTGTTGCATCTCATTCAACCCATCGGCCAAAAAACGCGATGCACGGAGGAAATCGCGCGGCAAGCGGCAAAGAGCTTAAAAAGATTTACATTCATGAAACCATTTCAGAAAATGATTCGGAATATCCTAGGGTCCTTTCAGTCCTTCATGCCACTTGAGCGACTGCCATTTTACGAAGGCCACTCGCAGCCTGCTCCCAGCCCAGCTGATATAAGCACTGTTCAATCCGCAATAATGTGAAAACTCAACAGAAGTATGGGGTTTGACATCGTTTGGAAGATGAAGTGCCCCCGTTTGTAGCATCTTGCTTCGCAAAGGTAATCGCGAATCCCCCGCATTCACGATGGTTCTTGAAGAGCCCATTGGCCAATACGAAAAACCTGGGTGTTTCTCGTATTCTCGGGACCTCCTTCCGGCCCCAATCTTGACCGGACCGGGTCAACCTTCCGATGCGGGGGCGGTTCGCCGCCGTCATCCAGATTGCGCCGGGAGGCATTCTGAGAACGCCTTTATCGGAGGACACTGGGCCCCGAAAGTCGTATACTTAATGCAGACGTACCCTGCCAAGGTCACCGAGGAACATAGACTGACGTTTACTCGCCCTCTTCACCTCTTCGAAAGCGCTAGAACCCTCTATCAGCCCAGTGTCTCCATCTATCCCAATACACGATGTCTTCGAGCGAAAAGAGTCCTTTCTGGGTCGAGTCTGAGGATTGGCATACTGCCGGCGAGCCTTTCCGCATCGTGGACAAGCTGCCACAAGGCTATCTACCCGAGGCGCAGACCGTAGCCGATCGTCGTTTCGCAGTCATCAAAACTCCCGGGCACCCGTTAGATGAGCTTCGCCAATCACTATGCCACGAGCCCCGCGGCCACGCCGATATGTACGGGGGCTTCATCACGCCGCCTGATGACTCCGGGGCTCATTTTGGGGTCATGTTCTGGCATAAAGACGGATTTTCGACTGCATGTGGGCATGGAACCATCGCTCTGGGATACTGGGCTGTTGCGAAAGGTCTCATCGAAGTACCTAAAGGCGACGGAGCTATTGATGTCGTTATCGATGTTCCTTCTGGGCGAGTGGTTGCTAGCGTCAGCGTCAAGCAGGGCAAGCCTGTCCATGCCGACTTTGTCAACGTGTTGAGCTACCAACTTGTCAAGGACCTCGAGGTCCAGATCCCGTCTCATGATGCAACTATTAAGGTCAACCTGGCCTTTGCTGGTGCCGTCTACGCTACGCTGGATGCATCTCAGCTCGGACTTGTGGTTGAGCCTGGCAGCCACCAGGCCTTCATCAGACTCGGCAGAGAGATCAAAGCTTCCATTGGTGATAAGGCCACCTATGGCACCTACGATCTCTATGGCGTGATATTTTACAACGAAGAGGGCGATGTCAATAATGAGGGAGACGAAGTAAAACAGAGAAACGTCACCGTCTTTGCTGATGGGCAGATTGATCGTTCTCCATGCGGTTCGGGAACCTGCGCGAGACTTGCTGTGCTGCTTGCCCAGGGAAGGATAGCATCGGGTCGCTCCAAACTCATGCACCAGTCCATCGTTTCCACCCGCTTCCAAGCCGACATTGTGTCCGAGGAGACAAGTCCTGTGGAAGGCTTCCCTGCCTGTATCCCTCGCGTCCGGGGACATGCCAGCCTGGTCGGGCGCATGAACTTCTACATCGATCCTTCTGATCCGGTTTACCCCGGCTTTCTTCTCCGGTAAAGCTGGGGCTTTCCGGATCTCTTCGGCGACTTGGGATCCGATTTATGGAGCTATCCACGGCTGCACCGGACTTCGAATGCAGGTTTGGGCTTTAATAGATTGCGGGAGGCGGACATGTCTTCGTTGTGCTCTCGTCCTAAATGTGAACGCAACCTACAGTCATATAAGTTGGTCCAATTCCATAGCCCGACTTGTTCGCGCCCCAGTGGAAAGTTTGCTTATCTGCACATCACTGGAGCTAAATGACTCTGCGCTTGAAGTAGATTTCGCATTAGCCGGAAAGACCGGCGATCGTTAGTTGTAGTAGTTCAACTAGACATTAATTCGCCATGTTCGTTATGACCATATGATAAGAGGTTGGATTTCCCTTGCGAGTCATCGCATCATGTGTCGTCCTCCGCTCAAATCATGAAGTGTTATTGCCAGTCGCAACTCCCCAGAAGTATCCGCACCAACTTCCCAAGATAAGGACGATCAATGCTACGAAGCAGCTCTTAGAGATGAGTCTGTTTTTCTCGCCATTCTGTCCGTAGAACCTTTCCTTCCTGACGTTCAGGATCTCGCCACGCGCAATGCGCAGTTTGCGTGTCCACTGAAGATGTCCCAGGTCAACGGACTTCCAGGACGCGAACGTCAGGAGGAAAGAAACGACGACAGAGATTCCAGCAAGAATGACGTAGACAATAGTCACTTTATCGTAAGAGTTGTTGTCGTTGTCTTGGATGACACCAGTAATGACGCGGACGACAATGTTCATTCTGAAGAAGCATCATGTTAGCTTGAACCCGGCATCGGAGGAGGCTTTGAGCAGGAAATCTTACGCGTTGTTCATGGTGATCTTCAGAGCATATGCTGAGCCAAAGACAGTCGAGTCCCACATTGATGTGCGGATACTGTCAATGATGGTGGCTGGTCCAAAGCAGTAGGCGAAAGCAAAGACTCCGAAACTCGCAGCAGTACCCTGAGTGGTGTTGGCGAAACACACGAGCAACATGGAAGTAAACATTCCGATGCCGCAGAAGACCACTAGAAGGCTGTGTTAGTTACGAGACCTCATTTTCCTTTTGCGGAAATATTCATAATTCAAGCACTTACAGACTGAGATACGGTTGCCGTAGAGGTCAAGAAAGACTCCTAGTAGGGGAACGACGAAGAATCCTACTCACGTTAGCTTACTGAAGAGCAGAGGGAACCTTGGAGAGCGGATACTCACCAGCATATTGCAATGTGGCGCTGTACCAACCGGCAGTGATGGAGCTTGTTCCGAAGCGCTGCTCGGCGAGCTCGGTGGCGTTCTGCAGGAAGACGATGGCAGTACTCGTTTCGAATAACGAGAAGCCCATGACAGCCCAGAAGGCCCACGGCAATTCGAGAACCTTGCGCAGCTCGAACTTCTTCGTCTTTTCCTTCAACCTCTCGCCGGTGGCAGGGTCACTGACGCCGTGGAATTTGCTGTTGGCAACTTTTGTAAACCAGTAAAACACGCCCGTCATGACGTTCGTGAAGAGATTCATGAAAACTGCAACCCAAAACACCCAGGCGAAATCTCCCGTCTTCTTGGCGATGATATTAGCAGATGACTTTCCAGCAAATGCGCCAATCTTGCCGATGCCCAGCTCGAAGCCCAAAGTCGAGGCAAAGCCGTTGCCAGGGGCAAACCAGGATGAGAAGACCTTGTATTGCGCCACTTGAGTCGCGATATCTCCCAGGGAACGGATCACTCTGCCAGCAATCATAAACTTGTAAGAGCGGGTCTGAGCTGCTGCTGCCACAAGAATTGAGCCGGCTGAGTAGAGGAAGTTGCCGTACAACATGGCACCTAGTTTTTGTTGTCAGTAAAGCTCACATTGATGTCTGCGGTTTTCCATACCTGCGCCACCAATCCTGTCCGTAACAACACCGCTGAGAAGCATTAGAGCCGTGACCATGAAATCCTCACTAGCTTCCAAAAGGGAGAACTGCGTGTTGTTGATCTTCATCTCCTTCTTCATCGTTGTCTTCATGGCGCCACTGAGACCGGAACTCCACTGAGAACCAAATCCGATAGCAGTCACCAACGCAACAGAGGCCAGCTTCCACGTCAAAGGAACCGGTCTGAGGCTACTGTTGACTGAGACCTCATCGCTATCCGGGGACGCGGAGACGGCGGTTGCGAAGCCCTGCTTTTCGTTTTGACTCGTCTCAGAGACATGGTCTGCGGGAGCTTGCTCGGCATCCCGAGGGGGTGGCACTGCTTCGGCAGCCATTGCTTGAGCCTTGGGTGTTGAGGAGGAGACGTTGAGCTGAGACCGCCCGACTGTGGAAAAACGTAGAGTGTCGACTGTAGAGCGAGAGACGATGTCAATATTCGACGAGGTTTGGTTCTTATAGCATAGTTATCATGAATGTCACTCCGAAATTGACCGATGGATAGCAACGGAGGGTCCTAACCCCGACTACGCGTCTAGGGTCGCAAGCCGTGGATGGCCCTGAGTCCGTCAGGCGCTCCCGCTTGGGAACTGGGTGGTACCACGTGCGGATGAACAGGCGATGAACCTATCTAGTCCGACGAAGGCGCATCTAATCAATCAGATTAGATCCACAGTTCGCCGAAATCAAGGTTGCAGAGACCCTTCGATTCATGAATCTGCAGGAGCTAGACCCGGTGATGACAAGGTTGGACCACCAAACTGGGAACAGAATGAGTCTCCTTGGGGCCGACAAAGGAGGCAAAGCAAGCCAAAGCGCTGTCACTGAAAAATCTGTCCCGGGGATGGCCTAAAGTGAGTAGTGGCGGCGCAAGAAGTGGAGGTCCATCTTCTCCAAGACGCCAATAAGCATTGCTCTACTGTTTGTGCAGAATTTCTCACAGTGATATTTCATGCAGATCCAAAATCCCTGTTGTTACAAGGGAAGTCTAGAAGTCTAAATCGCGGTAGTTTTGCGTTGAATGACATTCCAGAGCAGCTGGACTTTATCAGATCCTGACAGAGAGTACTGGGTTCCCTGAGCAAAACCTCGCTGGTTTTAGAGAAAACGAGGTTGAAAGTAGGAGGGAAATAACACCTTTCATATACTCACTGACCGAACCTAAGTCGCATGAGCTAGATACGCAGAGTTTCCTCTTGTTCTTCTTCATCTTCAACAATAGGTCGGACGAGGTGACGTTGAAGAACGGACGAATCACAGCTTGGCAACAGGTTTCATGGTTCCTCGGTGATACGACGTTATCCCGCTCGGCTCGAGCGAGCGAGCTCGCCAAGAATCCTACGCGGCCAACATCCGTCAATCAACCATGCTTTGGACGTCTTTTTCGCGCCCATCTGGCCTACGTCGGAATTAACAAAATTCGATCTATCGAGTGAGTGGGAGCCGACCTAAAAGTGCATACATCTTGCGGGACTTTTGATCCCTGCACGCGTTTCTCGATGTGGGCGGGCCGGGGTTGGAGCTAACGTGGTTTGATACGACAGAAGAAACATTTGATCTAGAAGCTCGGCTTGCAGCTTGCAGCTTACATTTCTTCACTTCCATTGGCACCTTCTCTTTTGCTAATTGTCTGTTTGTCTTACCCAATAGAAGAATGGCGAAGACGGACGATTCTCCGGCTCCGAAAAGCCCTCGCTCGATGGCAAACTCACAAAGAAGACGCAATAGTCGAGACCTACATCAAGATGACGACGTCGTTGTCAACGATGAGACACCGCTTCTCAAAGCCAGTCATTCCAACATGGCCGTTCCTTCGTACCAGACCCCCGACTTGAGTCTCGTTGCTGAGACAGAAGCGCCCCGACAACCGGTGTCCTGGATGTCAATGCCAAAGAAGTGGCAGCTGGGCATGGTCGTCTTCGCACGTCTAGCTGAGCCACTTGCTGAGCGGTCACTCACATCGTATCTTTTCTATCAGTTGAAATTTCTCAGTCCGTCTCTACCGGACTCGGCAATCGCAAGACAGGCCGGCCTTCTCACTGCCGCATTTGCCGCCGCCCAGTGTGTGACTGGCATGTTATGGGGACATGTGGCTGACAGTCCTCTTTTTGGTCGAAAGCGAGTTCTTCTCGTGGGATTGCTGGGGACCTGCATCTCAGCGATTGGAATGGGTCTATCTACCTCGTATGCCTCTGTGGTGTTTTTCCGTGTGCTAGCTGGAGCACTGAACGGAAACGTGGGTGTTCTCAGGACCATGATTTCGGAAATTGTTGAAGACAAAAGGTATGCGTGACATGATTCCCTTTTCAGTTGTGGTTGCGTGATCAATGCTAAATCGTGAATAGGTACCGGTCTCGCGCTTTTCTTCTGCTTCCAATGTGCTTCAACGTTGGCGTCATCATCGGACCTCTTCTGGGCGGATTTCTTGCCGACCCTATTACATCTCTCCCCTCAATCTTCGGGCCGGGTTCTTACCTCGGTGGTAAAGACGGAGTCGAGTGGATGATCCGATTCCCATACGCTCTAACAAACTTTGTTTGTTCAAGTATCTTGATGATTGCGGCTCTGGGAGTAGTTCTCGGGCTGGACGAAACGCATCCGCTCCGGCGCCATCGCCGAGACCGAGGTCGAGACCTAGGGCGCTTTATTCTCAGAAAGGTCTTTAGAGTGGAAAGCCCATCCAATGATTACCGTCTCGCTGGCAATGGAAACGACCCGACCGAAGCGGGAGACGTCGAGGACCAATCTTCGTCGAGCAAGCCTGTGGAAGACAAGGGCCGGGCGCCGCTGCGTGCTATCTGCACCCGCAACGTTATTTTGACGTTGGTTCAAAACTTCTCCTCAGCTCTCCACGTTTCTGCCTTCAACTCTATACTGTTCGTTATGCTGCCAGCACCTCAAGCAGACAACACCAACGCGCAACTCCCATTCCGATTCACGGGTGGTCTGGGTCTGTCGTCCCAGAAGGTTGGCTTTGCTAACACAGTCATCGGAGCCGTCGGTCTTCCCCTACAAATCCTCTTGTTTCCCTGGATCAGCAGTAAGCTCGGTGTGCTGCAGTCCTACCGCACATTCCTTCCCTTCAGTGCGCTGGCGTACTGCTCGCTACCCTATCTCGCCCTTCTGTCGAACAAGAGTCCGCTCTTGTGGCCTTTTCTGTCTGTCATCTTGAGTGCACAAGTCATGTCCAGAACGTTTGTGGGACCGGCAACAATCATGCTGGTCAACGACTCTGCTCCGCACCCTGCCCTCCTAGCCACTGTGCATGGTGTTGCATCGAGCACTTCAGCTGCAGCTCGTATGCTTGGACCTACCATCGGAGGAACTGTCCTTGGCTGGGGACTCAGCAACAACTTTGTTGGTGCGCCATTCTGGGGCATCACGCTTGTTGCTCTTATCAACTGGTTATTACTCTATGTAGTGAGGGAAGGAAACCCCATCTAGAGTCAATAGAAATGGAATTGGTAGAACATCTGACACTAGAGACGGTGCGGAAAGCCTCTGCTCTTACATTAATAGAGAAAAAACGTCCCCACTATACGCAGGACTGCTGATCTCTTACTCAACCCGATCAGCGCAACTTTGAAGTGACCCGCTTCTGTCGCTGATCACTATTCTTGACCCAGGCTGTATTGCTGACGCTGAACGCTTGTGCTATCGACTGTATCTTACTCTCTAAATAATTCGGTATCGGATCTCATCTCAGAGCGCATCTATGTCGGCTACTTGACAAGAACGTTGACGGGCAATGTCTACTCTTCGCTTTATCAAGGTATCATTAATGAGAACTATGTGGAAAGCCGTAAACTATAGCCCACACCGAAACTGTTAGACTCAACTCTCGATCATAGTAAACACCATTTTCCCAAGACCACCTTTCCCATTGTACACCGTTGTACACGCCTCTCTCACGCTGTCGATATCCTTGAAGTCAACTTTGCAACCAATCACAGGCAAGATGTCTCCTTTTTCTGCGTGGAGAGCCAGTGTTTCCAAATCTTTGGCATTGGGATCGAGGAACAAGTACTCGTACTTAACACCCCAACGTCTTGCACGTGCCTTCCGATACGAATCAACCATGTTTAACACCATGCGTGCAAACCACGGGAGACGTGGATCGTCTGGCCTCTTCATCACGCTAGATTGTTGGAGTTGAGTGCCGGAAGGCTGCGTGGCGATAGAGACAATCAGACCTGTAGATGGAGTCATCAGGTGAAGGAAAGACATGGAGTCTCCAGTTGTGTCTAAAATGAAGTCGACAGATCCACGAGGAATGACCTTGGTTACGTCTTCCTTGGTGTAGTCGATTACTGGATTTCGGTTAGGTACCGTTCGTTGTTGAAGTACCGAGGTGGTTTGATTGAGGCTCACCTTGGTCAACCGTGCCTTTACCAAGCAGTTCTGGCACTTTGTCTACCTTTGATGTTGAGACAGTGGTGATCACTTTGCCGGCATGGAAGACGTTCTTAGCGATCTGACACGCATACGCGCCAGTGCCACTCACTTCACAGAGTACCGTTAGCAATTTTTTGAGGTGAGTTCGATGAATCTCACTCACAGCCAGCTGGTATGAAGACGGTCTTGCCTGACAGTGATCCCTCGTATCGTCGCAAAGTCTGCAGTGCGGTCATGCCTGCCAATGGCAACGAGGCGGCATCATCGAAAGACAGGTTCTTTGGTTTGATAGTGACATAATTCTGTGAACATTTGGCGTATTCACTCCATGCTCCTGCAAAGATAGTAGTTTAGCATCCGCACCTATGGTCTATCGCGTCTTTTGAGCGTGTAGATACCTCGGCTAGCCTCTGGTAGCCGCGAGTAAACCTCGTCGCCAACTTTAATGCCCTTGACATCCTTGCCCACTTCTGTTACGGTTCCTGAGCAGTCATAGCCAATCTGGTATGGAAACCTGTTCTCATGGTGTTAGCTGGCGAGATCATCGCATAGTGAGGGTTCCTGACGGACGTCTCTTTCACCGCAAGCTTGAAGACTCCTGCTGCCTTCTTGACATCTACGGGATTGATACTCGCTGCGTGGACACGAAATACCACATCGGTAGGCCCCGTTACAACTGGCTGGGGGATCGTGGAAAGCTCATATGTGGACGGGTCGCAAAAGCTTGGTGCCGTAATAGCCAGCATTGAAGAGGTCATTGTGCTGAAAAGCGTATAAATAGTGTCTTTGCAACAAAATCAAGTTGCAATAGAGCTGATTTATTTATATACAACAAGGATTGTAGGAACGTAGTTGTGTGATACCCGAATCCCGTTCGACATTCCGCACACGACGTTGAAGTTGGCCGGAGCAATAATTGAGCCGGGCAGGAGGCGGAGAGATGAATCTCTGTTAGTAGACGTTTCTGGTTGAACTAAGTCTCAAAGCGGACGAGGCCTGCTTACGATTGGCGCCAGAAATTTCTCCTCCGTTCTGTAGGCCTGGGCTGCTGCCGGTGGGCCAACCGATCACATAAGCGAGCATCTGGATAATAGATTCTTTCGATAGGAGACTACGATACTCCGTATTGACAGAATAAATGATTCGTTGTATTGGAGTTGGTATTACCGACGAACTCGGAATGTGCACGGCCTCAACGCTGTCGTATATCTCACCAACGTGCAATCCCGTAAACGAAGTTCGCACGCGCTTTTCATCACGGCACTCGAAAGGCACTCAACGTCGCTTCCCTTCCGTAATTGCTATGAGAAGAATAACTACACATGAGTAATTTACTAGATCGAGATGATCTACGCCCTTAAGTCAAAATCAACTTGAGGGAAGAGCGGCTCAGCATGGCTGAATGCATCAGATAAGCTTTTACCAACTACAGTGTATCGCGAGGTTGATACACGAAAATCCGAAAGAGTGGAAGTCTTTAGTACACTGCCTGTATCCACAGCATGCTGTATCAACTACGGGTGATGCGTGCATGCAGTCTGGTGCGACTGCGACTAAGTTTATCGATTGGGTATGCCTGCCCCAGCGTCCGTGCCAATTTGAGATCGATTTGAACATATGAACTGGTGGGTCGCGCAGCTAAACTTTTGGTTCATAGGGCCTCTCTTGCAACCGATGATAAGAGGATAGCCTTTAGGGAATCATCTCAACTCATCGTCAAGCCTACTTCCTCTCTGTCGTGACTGAAGTGGGCTCTTAAGCCTCATTGCTCACTATTTCCAAATGATAGCCCAGTAGAGGAAACTTGAAGATCGGTCTAGCTTAAAAATTCAGATACGTCGCGAAATTTGAAGCGGTAAGGTTCAAGGCCTTACCAGTTCTGGAGAATAACCTGATGATAGTGTTGGTCTATGTCAATATGGAGGCTTCTGGTAATATCTATCTCCCGTCTAAGTCTGTGATTACTCAATAAAATTCGCTCAAACACTTCAGATATCTGCAGCGAAATGCAACTTGGTAGACCAAGAGCCAGATAGACGCCACGTGGAGAGCTCTGCCAGTAACCAAACCCCAATTATGAAGAGTCGCCTTGAGATGATATGCCCCATCTCTGGCTGGTTGGGGGTCTAGACCAAGCCCGCCTTCTAAACCCGAGATGCAGGAACCAAAATCGGAGAAATCTTCGCGCCATGGCCAAAGAGGGTTAAAGCTTGCAGCCGTTACCTTTCAACACGATTGCACGAACGGGAGATGGATAGATACGCGCAAGGGTCGAGACATCAGACATGAACTCGCAAGTTGATCTTGTGCCTTGGGAGCAGCTAAGCAGAATCCCACATTGCCGCTGTCGTTCAACAGCTCCCGTCTTCACCACAACAAATTACATGTTCTTATCTCTACTGACCGGTGAGCAAATTTGTATGTCACTTGGCACATCGTAAAGGCAACAAAGTCCACCTTTTAACAAGTCCAGCCCTTGAATAAAAACGTACAAATCGGCAAGTCCGCCCAATAGAGAGATTTCACGGACGTAATACGGCCCCGCTTGGACCTCCGGACAGGCTCCGTGACAGGCAAGAGACTGGACGGCGAAGTCATGTCGACGCGGTGGTTAGCGGCGGTTTTTACTCGGCTTTGCTAGAGGAAAATTCTTGCACTCATCTGAATCTCGCGGGAGCCGCAACTGGCTCCATCTTTTACCTAAAAGCTCCTCGCTTGTGTTTCTTAATCGAGAAAGGTTCCATTAAGAACCGCCGAGCGGGTCTCTTAGCGCGGCTCCAACATGCCATAGAAAGCTTCTTTTACGACATCAAAACTTCTTCGTTGTGCCCTCCGCAAATTCAATGTCAAGAACAAGCCGAAGAACGCCCACTCAGGGACCTCGCAATCCAGAGCTTACGGGGCAATTTGACAGCAGTGACACAAAACAATTAGATCTTATCAACTCTGAAATGCATTCCCCGTGTTGCAGAGCGATCTGTTATCTTTCCCGCCCATGGGGGCGAGATCATTCTGTGGAGGTGGCCCGGCTTTCACCGGGCTACCGAACTGACGACAACCTCTTTCATGGATGAATCCAGTCCGTCTACCACCATGTGGACCCTGAATCCATCTGACTCGCGCCTGTACGTTGATCTTTTAAAAGTCAGGAACGTCAGACGCGTCGTGCTCTTTTGGCCTCCTCGAGCCCTCTCCTCTCCGTTGGCTTCTTCCATCCCATCACTCCAACGACCTCTCCTCGGACTCCCTCTTGTCGTCCACCAACCGTCTTCAACTCTGCTGCGGTTGAAACACATCTTCTTCCATCATGACGGACGCCATCTCCCACACAGCCGACCACGGCAGCAACAAGACTTCCAAGCACAAGGAGGACGGACCTGATGCCGAGATGGTTCAGCCCCCTAACCCTTGGCCCGAGATGAACGACAACACCATGCTCGGCGAGACGAGCGACGAGATGAACAACGACCGCCTTAAGCAGATTGCCGCCCAGGGCAGCGCCCACTTCCACCGTCTGGGCTGGAAGCGCTTGGCAATTGTCACCATTGTCGAGGCCGTTGCCCTTGGTGCTCTCAGCTTGCCTTCCGCCTACCACACTCTCGGAATGTTCCCCGGCGTTTTCCTTACCATTACCATTGGTATGCTTTCGATTTTCACCAGTTACATCGTTGGTCAGGTCAAGCTGGCCCACCCGCATGTCGCCAACTACGCGGAAGCCGGAAGGCTTCTCTTTGGTCGCTACGGACGCATCGGATACGAGATATTCGGAGCTGCACTTGTTCTTGAGCTTGTCATGGTTGTCGGCTCTCACGCTTTGACTGGAAGCATTGCGCTCGTTGATATCAACGGCGGTCACGTCTGCTCCATCGTCTTCTCGGCCGTATCAGCTATCATCCTCCTGATTCTTGCTATCCCGCCCTCGTTCACCGAGGTTGCTATTCTCGGTTACATCGACTTCGTCTCTATTCTGGCTGCCATCGGTATCACGGTTATCGCCACCGGCATTCAGGCCAACAGCGGTCCCGGCGGTCTCTCCGGCATCGAGTGGT